ATTATTGATACACTAGAAAAAAAAAAAGAAAAAAGAAAGAAAGAAACCGCGTATTAAAAAAAGAATGGTGTTGACGATATTAAAGACAAATAATAAAATAATGAAAGCGTAAAATGTAACAATTGTTCGTGTTTAATTAACGTGCTAATACATTCTTTTTTTCTTTTGTCTTCGCACATGTTTGACACGAAAAATTTAATGGCAAAGACGGATCGATAGAATCGAACGAAACTTCTTAACTCTCGGTTTTCATGCGCTCGGGAAATTAAGATTTCCAGGAATCGTGTGAAACTTCGTTGTTACGTTGTCCAAAGTATCACTCAGTGTATATAATACTCCCTGCAATTGGGTTAAAAATTAGTGTCGAGATTTTTCGATGCACGATTAGGAAACACGTTATTTTAATGTGTGGAACTGTATACGTTTCGATCGTTCTGTCGTCAAATAAGAGATTCGGGATACGGGAACGAATTTCATCGTTACGAAGTTATATAATATTCAGGTTACGAGAATTTTAATAATAATTTTAGTAAGATTAATTTTAATTCTCGTAGATTATGTAATTTTAGAAAGTAATTTAGTATTTCGTAAATATTAAGATTATAACGATATGATTCTGTATTTTTGAGACCCATTTATTTTTCCTATCTAGATCGAGCTCGCGAAATTTATATTTTAAATTTAAAAGGATAGATTTGACTCTCATCTACTGCAGGGATCCATTACTGTATCGTCCAACTTTTCTTCTCTTGTTACAATAATTTTAAATATAAAACTTACATTATTCTTAAAAATGGTAAGATTGAAAAGATGCAAAATTATATAGAAAGAAACTAATAATACAACCGTTTCATTTTTCTTCTCAATCTGGACATAGAAAACAAATGAAATTTAATTTTAAAATTCCTATCATCAGATGATTCCAATTGTTTTCAACTTCGATCTATTTTTTTTTTTCGCTCCTCTTATACTAGTCTCCATTCTGCAATTAAATAGGAATAAAAACAAGGAATAAAAATTTTTATCAGACATAATTCGTACTCTATTTATCCTACGATCCAATAACGTTTCATATTTAACATCATGGAAATCGATTTTCCAACAAGGAAAATTAATTTTCATAATTTATATCGGTCAACTATAACCATTCTTCAAACTTGTTCCATTGATTTATTTTGAACCCGATCATACCCCTCTCCCCCCAATCACAATCAAAATATATCCTCTCCGTCTTACGACAAGATTAATTTCCCCACTTACACTCGGTCAACAGACTTCTTTGACCAACTTATCTCGTACTCGATCACCATTACTCACTCCATCACTCGTCTGCATAAAAACATCCTTCCCTCTACACGCAATGAAAAACGCGCAATCGATTCTAGGGATGTGAAGGGTCTCGCTTCGTTAAAAGGTGGAAGAACCCATTCCATCCATCCCTCGATCGTCGTTAACAAGAGAACAGTTTTTCGCGTGACGGGATAAATACGGCCAATTATCGTCCCACCTTCGTTCCGATTATACAACGTCAGTTGTGCGCGTGTATGGACCATGACAAACGGTTTGATGAAGCCGTTCCACCCGTCCACTTAAAACCTTAGGCCGATCGCATAGATTTCCAGCGCATTGTCTGACATTTATTAGCACAGGTCATTGCTTTAAATCGCCTCTCGCCTTGCTGTTCGTTCGTTGCTGGAAACACCTTGCCTCTCCTCCGACCAACGAGCACGCACGGTGGTAAGGGAGTACGAACTCACGGCACCGTCACCCTCGTGTAAACGAGGCTGATGTATATATATATATATAAAACGGGTCGCTTCGTGACCTTTTCGTTAAAGCTCTTTTCGTTAAAAAAAGATTAGCAAAGATGGTGCATCTGTGCATCTCTCGAACCCTTATTTACATTTAGGACGGAAATTTCTGCATCTTCGGTATTTGTGATCTCTGTTTGTTGGGGTGGATACGAGGAAGAGATGAATTTAGAGATTTAAGCCTTGATCGACGAATTCGTGGAACGAATTAATTTTTACCTTTTCATGTGTTATATGTATGCGAAACGGTTTCTTTTGTTATTTTTGTTCTGATCGTCGTTGACGAAATATCGGGGAGGGTTGCGGAAAGGATTAAGTATTTATTCCAGGCTTTTGTGAGATATGTGGGATTTAAATTGTTTAACTTCGACGAATTATTCGTGTTATTTAGTTTAATCTATCATTTATTTCCTTTTTGAAAAATATAATTTTTTTAACAATTAAAGATTTGTTAGAAGCGATCGTGATGTTTGTATAATTTAATTGTTTGATCAAATTGAAATTATTGATTTTTTATTCGAAATTTAGCGGAATGTTTAAACTGACGAGAAAAGGGGTTATAAAGTTTCCATGCACGCGATTCTTTATTCTTGTGTAACAATTATATGTTATATTTTGATCGATATTATAATTCGCGCGTGGATACTTGTGGATCTAGAGGTCTCTTTGAATCTTGTTAAGTCTAATCAGGCTGTCAGTCTGCTGCTATTGTTCGATAAAATATGTCGAAACAACAATATTGCAGCTCCCTATTATCGATACAACGTCACGTAATGTTCTTGTGTACAATTTTACTGATCAAATGGCAAAGTTTGAACGGGATGTTTCGCGCAATTGAATCTCAAATCACAGATAATAATAAAGGATAAAATATAATTCTATACGAGGCATTCGGAATTAAAGTGATAATTGCATTTTTATGGAGATTATCGAATATTAAAAGGATAAAAGTGAATCTTCGAAATATCGATCTTCATCTGAAAAATACATATTTTTATTCTATTCGCATGTAAATTCGAATGTAAAATTTGATTCATACTATCTTCTAACACACAGCCGACGAGGCGACACGTGGCGAATTTACATTTCCATGGATCGATTCAATGATGCCTTTACGGAATGGTCAAATGTCAGGTACACTTAAACTCCCTCTTTACGGATTCACTTTTCAAAGTTGTCCTTGTCTGTAGCGTAATCTTGATATTTCTTAAGTCCACGAAATTGGGTGGAATGTTTCTTGATTATTATTATATCTTGTTATTTGTATGTTGGTTTCAACAGGTAGGAGAAGAAGTTGGGAATTCCAAGTTGTACGCCTACTATGATAACATACAAATAATGTTACACTAGTACGAAGAAGCGTGGAAATACAGAATGTACATGTGTATGTTCAGATAACATGCTTCTGTTCAAATAATATAATAGTTGTACATTGCAGAAATGCAAAGGTCTCTGTGTAGGTGTTTTTCAAAGTTCAAATCCAAGATCGTTTTTCGTATAAGCCACTTTTATTGCGTAAATAAATCACGTACTATATAATAAGATCTAAAATTTCTAATCATCGAGAAGATAACGTGTTACAAAAATGATAATAAATTAATAAAAAGAGTGTAAATTTGAAATATCTAATTTATATTTAATTTATTTATTATAGTAACAGATTGATTGGACAAATGATATATTTATCTCGAAATTATCTTTGAACAATTAATGATCCAAAATAAAAATAATGAATTTAAAGGAGAATATTCTTAAATCCAGAAATAAAATAAAATCGATATCTATCGAACGATAATTATCTTTAACCCTTCCTTCAACCCTTTTCTCGATATTTCAAAAAATTCTCCTTATAAATATTCCTTTCAAAAACAGTTAATACCTCAAAGAATTAAAAGACCCTGAAGAAAGAGCGAAATACACAAGGGGCGTATCCCGAAGAATCCAGATTAAGAACATCATTTCGAATTACAAATCCTTCAATTATAAATCTTCATACGGATCGGATAATACGATTAACCGGGCATTGGCGTTCTTTCTTATAGAGCGAGTCGGTCAAGTACGTTTTATATGTCGTTACCGTTCTCCCTCCTCCGGAAGAAATTGAATTCCCTTCCCGCGTTCGACCAGTTTGATCGAATGAAAGTGTGTGTGCGTGCGTGAACGTGTTCAACCCGTATCTGTTCCTATGTAAATGCATATATGGAAGCCGTTTCAAGGCACAGGCTCATTGTCGTTGAAGTGTGACACACGTGAATTGCGGCCGAATTGATTTATTCAGATAGTGGATGCTCAATGGAAAATGGTGGAGCGTCGAAATCGAATTCGCCCGGCTTCAATTTCCGCGTATGTGTCTTCGGGATGCATTTAAAAGTGGCTGCCTATTTTTGAGCCTCGAATATTGAGCCCAGTCCGCGATTCTCCCATGGAATCGAAAATCCTTCCTCCGTGAATGGAATAACGGAACTTTCTTCTTCCGCTTATACGAAGAATAAGAAGAATAACACATTAAGAGAAAATTTAATTTTAGATTCATTTGTGATAATCGAATCGATGCTCCATAAAGGTTTTATTAGGGAACGTTTTAAGTCATCATTTTCTATCATTTATCATTTTGAATCAAATTCTCGCTTCTTCTTTAATTTTAATCCGGAAGCTTTAACGCGTATAATTGGATTATAATCTCAGTAATTTCGATACTCTACTTCTTCGCGATCGTGCGTTCCTTCGAATTGCGAAATTTTCAAATGGCAAGGATTCTCGCGGATTCGAAAGGCGATTAAAGGAATAATAAAAAGAAGACGAAATTATCCCTAATAATGTTAAATAGGGTGTTAAATAATGCTGAATATCTTACAATACAAATATTCTCAATGTATTGTGAACCTTTCCCAACGGTCCCGAAGGTCGAAACGAAATTACCCGATCGACTCGTTTGCGTTAAGACAAATAAGCGGAATAACCCAGTTCTCGCTTTAATTATTCCGAAAGTCCAGCAACGGCGTGCGTGCGGCGTACGTATGCTTTTAATCGAGGGTTGGAGTACGGTTTAATTCCGTTTATGGACTTTGCTTTGCACGCGGTTGATTCAGCGAAATTAAGTCGAGCAGGAGTGAAAACTGTTAATTATTTATCATTTACATATATTTATAAACAACAATAATAATACGTTTTCTCTCTTTTCTGTTTCAGTGAAGAAAGCGCGGTTCGTCTGCGAGGAAGGTTCGTATCCATGATTAAAAAGAGGAGCGAGGAGGAAGAGGAAATCGGGATGCAATAAACCGAGCAACGACGATCTCTGATTTAATCGTTCCTCGGATTCATCCTGAAACAACACCTCCACGAGCGTAAATTCACATTGTAACAAATTATCCAAATTCGCAAAAGTTCGAACGTCATCATGTCCCCAGACTGTCTGACACTTCCTCAATCATATTTCATTCAACGGTTTAGTTCTAGTTCCTCTTATGATCTCGTTCCTCGAGATCAAGAAGTAGAATCAAGAAACGAATATCGCGGGGAGGAGGAAGAAGTTGGACGGTTTCGATCCGGTTTTTTTCGAAAAAATTGAAATCGAATCGATACGGGGGGAAGCCCTTATTCACGCTCCAGTTCTGAGGTTTGCGCAAAATTTGTTGCACACCGATTGGAACGGTTCCAAGTTAAAGGTTATGCGACTCCTCAACCGGAATATCGCGATGCTCTTGTTCATGCCGAAATAATTTTTCCGCGGCGACCATTCGTCGGGACGAA